CCTTCATGTAATTAGCTGTTTTGTAAAGGAAGTAGGATTTTATGCTTGGACTCACGGAAATTATTAAGCAGCCTGCAATCTTCATTGGCTTTGTACTTTGACTAACAGTGTTCTTCTTGTTCACAGTAACTGCAGTACTGAATGGAAGTGGCTCGTAGACAGAGCAAGAGTTGGCAGCCGGTGGACATGGCTTCAAGCCCAGATTTCAGAGCTAGAATACAAAATCCAACAACTGACAGATGTTCATAGGCAGATTCGTGCTTCCAAGGTATTGTCTGTGTTTTATTTTTGTTGAAATTGTTATTGTTTTAGTTTCATCACATATAATTTTATGAAGTTTTATAAACTGTAGCTACTTTTATTAAGAGTTTTGATACCTTAGTTGCTATAAATTAAAGTTACCTTTGCAAAACCTTTTTGTGTTTACTAAAATCATTTTATCAGGCTCTGAGTATTTTGGAACTTCTTTACTGGATTCCAGGCAGTAGAAATTAATATATTTTCTTATTAAAAAAAAAAAAAACCAAACTGCTCTCACTATGTTCTTTAGGCTGGCATGAATCTTGTAGCCAAGACTGGCCATAAACTCACAGTCCTCCTGTGTCAGCCACTATGTGGCTGCCACTATGCCCAGTTTCCAGATTTTTTATTGTAGCAAAATAAACATAACAAAATTTATCATATAAACTGTTTTTATGTTACATTTTAGTAGTCCTAAATATATGAATAATATTGAGTATCTATCTTCATATTGGTTATTACTATCAACATCTTAATATTTTTTTCTAGTTCATAAAGAGTAAGAGTGTTTTACTCTATCTACATCTTTAATTTGTGTCATGAATATTTTGTAGTTTCCTTTTATAGGTCTTTTTCTCATTGATTAAATATTTACTATATTTATTGTTGTGTTTTATTTTTGATATTACTGTAAGTAGAATTGTGTTGTAATTTTCTTTTCAGATTGTTCATTTTTAATATATAGAAATACTACTGCTTTTTATTTATTGACTTTATATCCTGTTACTTTGCTAAACATATTTATTCTAATAGGTTTTTTAGTAAAAAAATGAGTTTCCTACTCCTAAGCTCAAAAAAAAAGATAATTTCACTTCTTTCTTTACAACTTGGATACTTACTTATTTTCTTATCTAATTACTGTGACTAGTTTCCAATGTTGAATGGAAGTAGAAAAGCCATCA